ACCCACACCCACACCCACACCCACACCCACACCCACACCCACACCCACACCCACACCCACACCCTCACCCACACACACCCACACCCACATCCACCCACCCACCCTGGGGTTTCACATCGCGGCTCGTCCATCTGTGTTCTGTACAATAAATAGCAATGAAATATTATTACCGATGTATGTCGTATAAAATTGTTATAAGTATAAACAACTTGCTGTAAGAATAAGAAAGGGCGAGTAATAGTCGAATAACTCGATTTCATTTTATTTTCTGCTTGAAATATACACTATGTCATGGATATATAAGCTTAATAGATATGTTCTCCTTCTCGTATGTGTCAGTTACTCAATGTTTGATTGATTGATTGATGTAGGTCTTTAAGATTAACAAGAGAAATAAGCTTCATTGTCCAGATGTTATCTAAATGATCTCTAATTTCACATTTTCAAAACCATAATTTGCTTTGTTTGTATTATACAGCTGTTCAGTTGCTTGAAGATATTGATCATGAAGTTGATCGATATCTGTTTGCGATGGATCAATGATTTGATTGACATGAATCGGTTTACCAACTAATAGAATAAAATGATTTTTTTTCCATTGAGTCCAATGGGAAAGAAAGTTTTATCTTACCAACGGTCGTTACAGGATGACGAAGAGGTAAACAACCGACGATTGATCGTCCCCAAATCCATCGATTTGAAATCCAATTCTTATAATGTCGATAATGTTCATTTTCTCCAAATGTTATAACCGGTACTAATGATACACTAATAAACAAAACTTCTTCTTTTCTATTCATCCTAATTACATATTCACTAACCCATTTTCTAATGCTAATCGTATAAAACCTTTCCTCTTTTTTAAATAGAATATCATCCTTTGATATTCGGTTAAATACAATTCTTTCATACCACCAGTCACAATAACAACAGCATTACCTTGACCAGATGAACCATTTAAGAAATATTGACAACTCTCTCGTGAGACAGAACATTCACCTAGAATAATAAAACATTCGATGATAGATCGATAATGTTATTCGTACCCAAGCTAAGAAATAATTCACGTAAAAATGGACAGAAAAAATTGGTATGAAGACCCATCAAATGAGGACGAATACTAGGAAATAAAGTTGAAAAATGTGTTGCTTCTGTTAGGAAATTGATCCCAGCACCGACAGTTGCTGTACCGTGTGGATGATAACCAAAGATATAATTTCGATTTGGATCAAGATCTTCAGTTTTGATTAATTTTACTGGAAAATAATTAGAAACTATTGACCAAATAGATAATCGACGCAAACGATCCGACCATCGCCCTCCTCGAACAGGAGTATAGCGATCAATATACATCCAACTACCATAGATCAAAGCAATGAGTAATGTCAGTGGTAAAGACCAGAAATAGGATAAGAGAATAAATGTGAACAATATAATAAAAGGTGACAGAATTAAAAATGTAATAAGAAAGAATAAAACTAAATCTTCAATCAAATTCTTCATTATTATCTAAAATCAATTTCAAAGACTAAAAAAATCATAAAAAATAAACATTATTCACAATGGAAGTGTGTAGTTTAGCGATGATACTTTAACTTTACTGTGAAAGTTAAAGTTAAAATGCCTCACCTCGATTATGAACAGCTTGTGCGCGACGATTTTTCATAGACGTTCGCTATGTTAAACATAATACACCATGCTCTCGTGCACAGTCACAAATCAGAAGATCAACAATATCTCGACCTTGATATGATTGATCAACATAAGGATCTTCCATTACAGCTAGACGATCACCTTGTTATGTGAAGCAAAACCAATAGTTTCTCCATCTTGAACATGACAAAAAAGTCACTGGTATTCCTTCTTGTTCTGGATTTGTAATTAAGACTCAAGATACTAATAGAATTCACAATAACTTTGTGATAATGGTAATGAATCTAATGAATCATTTTCATTGACAATATTTATCTTCTAAAGTCTATCCTCGATGGAAGTCATCGCTATTTTTGATAAAAAGAAGTCTTGTTTGTTTTTTTTCTGTCCTTATCTAAATATGAGTAGTCGATAAGAGTCGTATGGTATCAGTTAACGAAAGATGTCCTCATTTACCCTGCATAGAGGGTCTGCAGAATTCTTAACAATAGAAAACAGAATTCTACACGATTAAGCAGAATTGACAGTTAGTTATTTTCTTTACTGTTTGAGTAGAACTTGTTTAACAGAATTTTATCAAAATTCTACTGACCATTTTATCCTACACTGTAAAAAGACAGCAGTATACAAAATCCTTCTCCTTATTTCAACTTTGCATTAACCTTTCATGGGTTTATGGATGTCTCTTAAACGAAAAAAACCGTTGATGCAAATGTGGGTTTTAACGCGAACCGTTGTTCGAAATAAAAAGGATTTTAGTTCATCAAACTTTAGTGCCATTGTTCATTTAGCTACGGTCAAAGGTAGTATGATGTATGGTTTTCGGTTGCCAATGTGTATTATTCACAACAACCCAAAAATCAAGGCATCGCATATTGGAATCAAGAATATGTTGTCATGGTTATAGGTACTACTGAGTTCACTGAGGGGTGGGTGTCGGTGGATGCGAGAGAAGAACAGACACCAACATCCATACTTAGAATCACCCACAAACCTCACCCTCACCCACACCCCACACCCAGACCCATCTTTTTTTATATTATTTGGGTGAAGGTCATTTTAATCTTATAATCTATAGTCAACAAAATGTAAAAAAACAAATTTTATTTTCATTTATATTCTAAATATTTATCTAATATTGTAGAAACACATACAGAAAGTAAAAAAAGTGTAAGATAAATCACAGTACATATAAGAGCAGGGAAATAATTTCCATTATGCCAAGAAATAGCAGATAAAAATAAAGAAACAAGAAAAATAATGAGGAAAAGAGCAATGATTGATCTACAGCATATTGTGAAACAATCATAGTTTTTACTTAGAGATATTTTTATAATCCAGATACTTACTGAATAGATTATAACAATACATAGAATATAAGGAAAACATTTAGGCAATAATTTATCCATAAATTTTAACCAATAATATCGAATTCGATGCCAATGATATTTTGGTTGTATTGAGCAGTATCGAGTGAAGAAAGATGATGACTAAAGAAAAAGAAAACTAATCAAAAATAATTCGATCTAATGAGAATAATTTACTTGTTTTCCAAACCACCAATGGACAGAAAATATTAGTTCCCTTTTTAATGGATGACAAACCTGACATATAAAATTATCTTTGGTACTGCATCGTGATTGTCTAGTAATGAACTCGAAATCTCTCTCTATATTAGATGAAATTCGAAGAGAAAATGATGCATTTAATAAATATTTGAATCCATTAACACAACGATACATGACTTCTTTGGGATTAGTCTCAGGTGTACATATTAAATGATGAACATTAGGAAAAAGAAAAATTAGTTTTTCAGTTATATATTCATTATATTGACCACAAATGCGTATCTCTAATTTATGAATTTGTTCAAATCGATAGTTTCCTATTCGATTAATTGTATCTATATCAACCGACATGTGAATAGATAGTTCACGAAGTTGAGGCATTGTTTCTTTCAACGGTACATATGTTAATATATCATCTAATGACGACAGAGATAAATATTTTATTTGATTAAGATCAATAAATGATGTAAGAAATGAAATTGATAGCGGTGATAGAATTTTTAATGTATTGATATGAGTTAAATAATAATCCGGTCTAACTTCATTCCGTCCGAATGAAATCGTCTTTACACGACTATAGGGTAATGTTGAATCCGAACCTGTTGAATCAAAGATCAAATCTTGACACATATCAATATAATTAGGAGCAAAATGAGGTATGGAAAATATAGAATTATTGTTATATCCAACAAACCAATGTTTTTCTTCAATCCAATATGAAGTACGATATGATTCGAGAACATTTCTATTCAAATTATAATGTGCATTGAATTTAAAATTGAATATAATGAGATTTTCAGTAAAGCTTTGCCATCGATCACCATCGAAAAGATCTTGTAAACCAAGAAGTTCTAATTGTAAATATTGTAAATAAGGAAGATTTAATAAAAGATATTCCATTTCATCGATTGATATAATTCGATCTATAGGTGACAAAGAAGAAATGTGTGTTCATATAAAATATTTACTAAATTTACTTTCGATTTCGAGATGAAGTCGAATCAATTGAACAGGAAAGGATATTTGATCAAAAGTCGATGAATTATGCATATCCAAACAAAGAGAAAATGATCTTAGTTGATTTGAATGTTGAAATAAAGTTTTTAAATCATTGATTGAACATTTTTCAAGATTTAAATGTCGAAGATATGGAAATGGCATAGATGGTAGAAATGTTCCATTTGTCAAATGAATTCGATTTAAACGAGGCACAATCTGTGCAAAACTCTCATATATAAGTGACTGCATCTCAGTCGTCTGATATTGATATGGATGTTCAGTTATTAAAAAATCAAGAAATGTGAATGAACGTAATAAATTCAATTTATATAAATTAGGAAAAATCCATTTCAATGATTCACCTTCAATGTTAATCAATGTTAAAGTTTGTAATTGAGAAAATTGTTCAATTTGAAGACGAGAAAAGAATAGTTCTGATTGAGCAGGTGTATCATTTTCATCGGAAAGTACCAATGAAATAATTTGTTCAGATCGAATACGTTTACAAATTAGATCGAAATGATCCTTTTGAATCGATCGAAAATTAAGTTGATAGGTATTATAAGCCAATAAGACAGCATCTACATGATCACTTATGTTGGAAAAAGTGAATATAATTTCATGTGACCAAAAATATGCGAACAGATCATGCAAAATTTCGGCTGGCAATCGATCGAAAAAGCAACAGTGATGCATAAAATCGATAAGAAGTATGATGATGATGATGATGATGTAAAAATTTATTTTATGGGTACAACTGCAGTTTGATGACGCGCCCATGGATATATAGGAAGAGAACAAGAAAAAAATCTATTGGCGAATCGGTTGACCAATTTTGAAGGTGAATAAGATATAAGAGAAACAGATGGCATAAAAGAACAGACGACTTTAATATTAAGAAAGAAAATTATATGTATAAGACAACTATCAAACAGGATAAATAGAATTATTAATGAAGAGGAAGGATATCAAAATGTATTCTCTCAGTACATTTTGTGAGAAGAACGAAGTATGACAAAACATATGGGTATCCGCGTGTATGAGAAGATGATACAGTCGTGTTATTTCGAAGTGTAAGTATATAAGAGGAAAGAGGACGAGAAAACATATGAGTAATGCGATGTACAAAAAATAATCAGATGTTGTCGATATTATAAAGGAAAAAGAAAAATGAATCATTGCATATATTGTCATACTCACCCTCATTCACATCTACACCCACCCTTCGGAATAAAAAACCAAGAAGAGAAATACTTATGCGTCAGTTTACTCAGTCATAAATGTATGTGACGCAGTGTTTTTTTTACGAAAGAGAGAGAAATAATATTACTTGGTTTTTTCCAACTTGTTCGTTGCAATTTAAATATAAAACGGGACGGTGAGAGAATTCTTCGTTTTATTTTAAGGGATGAACAACAACCAGTGTACACAGTAAGTCAGAAGAAACAACAGAATCAAGGTTGCCAAACCTCCTGGTTTTTAAACTTTTCTTCTGATAATATTTCTCCGGAATTCTCTTGATTTTTCATTCTTTTCTTAAACGCCTTCCCATATCAGAAGCCCCTTTGCGATGACCAATGTGTTTGACGTATTAGAGGCCTTCTAATCTTTCCAAAATATTTTCATATTTTTGTAATTTTATTCTGAATTTTTGTGCTAACACTGCTAAAGTTTTCGAACTGAAGGTCAAAATTTCACTGATTCCCATCTAGCTATGCTAAAATCTGGAAATACCGCTAAAAATTTTGAAAAACTCATAAAAATCTTGGAAACCTGTAGAAATGTTTCGAATCGTTTTGTTAGCCACAGTCTATGAAAGTTTTTTTGGACTTAATAGAAGCCCCTCTCGAGAAGATCAGACTTAATCGCGAAAAGTCTGGTCATATAATAGGATTTTATTCTTGAAAAAATACAAGTTCTGATTTACAAAGCTCGATTTCGAACTGTGTATTTGTACGATATTTCGATATTTTCTGTAAAATAAAATATTTCAAAGATTCCAAATTTTCAGAATTTTAATCGTCTTCAGCTTTTGTTTTTAAAAATACTCATTTCTTCCGACATGATATGGATAAGTACCGAGAGTCAGTAGCGAAATGGTAAACTAGCCTCGTCGGTAAACGGATCGATTGAAATCACATGTTGTACCGAAATGATTCCGATGAAACAGACAAAAAAACAGTGGAAAAATCTCAAATTCTTTTGAAAAACAATTTTTATAGATAAATGAACCCAAATACAAGATACGCCCATGGACAAAAGTCTTTCCTCCCTCTTTATATATGTGCTATCATGCTTTGTATAAAATTTATTGCCGAGTGGAGATATGACTTGAGAGTTTTATTACAGTATGGTATACAGATCATAATGCAATAAAACTCTCAAGTCATATCTCCACTCGGCAATAAATTTTATACAAAGCATGATAGCACATATATAAAGAGGGAGGAAAGATTTTTGTCCACAGGTGTAATTTCGGAGAGCATATATGACACATCGAATAGTAACCATTCTTTTAAAGTGAACGTCACAACAAATAATTAAACAACTTGTGTTTTGTCCCCTTTTTTACCAACTTTACCAGAAATTTATGTGGTATCTTGGTTTTTTTATGGCCAGAAACAGGATCGACAAAGAAGGCTTTTCAAAAAATTCAACCCGTAAAATTCCCATTTCTAGAGCAGTCGTCCTATTCTGCAATGTTCAATATTCCAGGAATCAGTTCCTAGAATTCCGGAATCGATCGACCTCGACCAATCTCAAAGCTTTTCTTTTTCGCAAATAAAGTACGTGACACTGTCGTATTTTCCTTCTGGTTTCGAGAGAAAGGTTACTGATTTTCCCCCTGATTTTACGAGAAAAGTCTCCTGGTCAACTCCTGGTTTTTAACGAAAAAACCTTATTTCTAAAATTTGAATTTGGCAACCCGGAATAGAACATCTCATTAAATCATGTTATATTTTCCAGATTCTGATCGAGGTACATTTTTATATAGTTTAGGTTAGTATGCTATGAACAACAATTTTCTTAAAAGATTATACTACTGCGGGAGAACCTGTAAGAGTCAAATGCTGGGCGTGCATATTATTTTATCATGCCTAAACTATCCTCCACACTCACACCCACAAAGACCCTCTCTTCAAACGGCCGTTTACGGCTGTGCTTATTTGATTCAGGAACTTCTTTTCTTTCTTGTTTTTGTTTCAAGATAACAACGAAAGAGAGCTGCCACAGTGACGTGTCATCATTACTTGCACAAACATATTAGAGAACATAGGCTGCTTCTGTAACATTTTTAAAGGTGAGATGAGTAAACGATACTTGCAATCACACCGCATGGAGGCTACCACTGTGGGCAAATTATTAATGGCGAAAAACTCGAAAAGTGAGCAGATCGACGACAACGTTCAGTCAACACTCATGTCGCCTCTTGCCAAACTCTTTCAACGTATTCACAATCAGCGTTTGCTTGACGAGCAGTGCGAACGTATTCACCACTTTAAACACACATTTCTGTCTCTTCTTGTCTGCGCGTTACTCACATATGTTCTCCAGTATCATACGCAAATCTACAATGCTCTCGCGGGACCATTTCCCTTGAATCGCGATCAGTTCATCTCTTACCTACAAATCTACAACAATGATCTCTCGCCTGCGCAATTAAAATGGTTTTCATTGAAGCCCGAATACCTTCAAGTAGAGCTGGGCGAAGATCAAATAGAACAGGGACGCGCTGATCTAATGCGTGTTTATGATAATGACCAAAACATACTCAAGGATTGTATAGCAACAATAAAGCACGTCAAAGGCGAAAGCATCGTAGATGTACTTCGTCCTAATCGACTTTTCATCAAACTACCCACGTCGCTGCAGTCCCATTCCAAGACAAAACTTCCGTTTCAATTTTTAGCATTCAGTATTCGTACATTACGCTGCATCGTTCGACAACTCAATGCTACTCCAATGGAATACAGTACATGGCTTGAAAAATCTCATTATACGGCATTCATTGAGGTCAAGTACAGGGCAGATGCGGGTCAGTTCAACAAAGCTGTTCTAACCAAATGTGGCGTTCTAATCGGATACCTCTATAGGCCAAAAGGAGAGCTGGCTTATCTACCTAACTCGCAGCAGAGCTTTGTATTTCGTTCCCTTGATGTGGCCTTGAACGCTACGTCACCTTATTATCCCTTTTTTGCTTTTCTTCTCGGTGGCCTCGTCCTCAGCTGGCTCTTTCTCAAAGCTCTGTTCTACTTTTTCGTCTACATCTTCTATCAAGTCTATCGCACACCCGTCGTCCTCCATTCCGTCCTGCAGCAGCAATTACATGAGTTCGAACTTAACAATCTTCTCACTTTAAATAATATGTTGCTCGAGGGACATGAAGACCAGTGTTGTGGTAATGTGTTTCTGATCGATCAAAAATACGTGGTTCTACTGAATGTAAATGTGAACGAAACGAATAGTGATAGACTGGCTCTTTTCAAAACTCAAACGCCGCTAATAATTATTCCGGTGACGTCCATCGTAAAGGTGACATGGGACGGTATCGTCGTCGATAATGGCAATAAGCGGATTCCTTGGCCGGTAATCCAAAAGGAAAATGGAGTGGTATTGAAATGGTTAGATGATCAACTCATGCGCATCCATACACCATACCGAAAGCGGTACGTGTTTTCTGAAGGACCCTTATACTTATTTGTCAGAAAATTGTTTATCTTTCAAATCCCTTCCAGATGACAGATTATACATCGTCTATTATGCCTTAGCATGAATATTTTCCAGAGAAGTGGCATGAGAGGGTTATTTTAGGAATCAAAAAATTAGTATAGCAATGAGGATAAAAAAATTAATTTACGATTTATGGTGTAAATAGTAAATGCGGTTGATATAAGAATTTCTTGAAGCATGAAGGAAGTGGGAATTGAGATTCTCAGACGAGAACACCGTTGGGGATGTGAAATCTCTTTTGAAATGAGACCATACTGCATCTAGAAAGACCTAGTTTGAAGGTTATCATCCTACAATGAGTCGGGTTTCTAGTATTCCGTTGCTGAAGTATTGAATTCTAAGTAGATTCTCCTAAGCTTCTCATATAAGTAATTGAAATCAAGCGTCTCAGAATTGTTAGCCTAATCCACGTAGGAATATGAAGTTTCAAAGGAGAACACTCATTATATCCTTATAACATGAGCTCTCTCAAAGCACCTTAAAATAAAATTTTGTAACAGGCCGATTCCACTGAAAAAATGTAAAATTTCCACAGACCAACACTTCTGAGCGACCGACCAAGCAGGAAGCTTTCTAATAAGAAAAGGATTTCTTAATATTGAACTCTATCAGAAAATGTGACAATAAGCTGTAGTAATGTGAAAGATCAATTGAGTAGTTTCATTATAATTTTTATTCATTTTTCTATTTCAGACGGGAAGAGGAGGATCGTTTGATCCGCGAAGAAGACGCCAGGCGTGCTCAGCAAGCAGCTGATGCGCGTCGCCTCTCCACGCTTATGTACGAAGAAGCTGAATTGCAACGCGCGCGTTATGGAAATGATCTTGACCGTATGTGGGATCAGGTAACTTCGGCTTCCCCTCATTTCATTGCGCAGTTTCGCTTTAACAATCACCCAGTGGTAACGAGTATCGAGCTTCACGCCAATCAATGTAATTTGTGCTTCGAGAACTTCGAACTCGGCGAAACGTACTCAGTATGGCCCTGCGCTGGACACCACTGTTTTCATTTCAACTGCATGCTGGAAGCGTTACGTTCGAGGAATACTTGTCCAGTCTGTCGACATCCAGTAGAGGCGGCCTACTTGCCGAGCAGAAGTGAATTACTCCAACGGTTGTTCATGCGAATGGTTTTTAGAGTGGTCACCTAAAGCAGTGGCGGATCTAGCTATTAGGCGAACCAAAAATAATACTACTTTCCGTTTTTTTATAAAGCATCACCCCTCATGGAAATCCTGTATCCATCTCTTACCTGAAGCGAATGATTTTGAATAAACAAGAACACACCATTTGATTTTTTTATCAAAATGAATTAGTATGAAGAACGTTACAGTGTGGGTGTAGGTGTCAGTCTCATGTGAGTAGAGCAATGTTGAGTTCACACACCCACACTTTCAACATAATGATGAAATATTGTGTTTTTCAAACTTCGAATGGATACGTATGTAGAAGGAAGTTGTGATTTATAGTATTATTGTTGACTCTATTCTGAAGTGACACTTTATGTCTATGATTATAATTGTTATTATTCACTCAATCATCAGTTATATCTTGTTCTCTATCACAATCACAACAGATATAATCATAATATCTCAAGTTGATATTGATTCGAAGTAAAAATATAAACAAACATTTATAAATTTCAATTAATATAAAACCCATGAATCAATGTTTTATCGTCAATAAATCTTTGAAATATTATTTTTGCGTTCTACATAATCTTCAATAAACAATTCAGTGTCACTAAAACTAAAGATTAATAACATAGATCTTTAGCCGTTGATAATAGCTATGTGCACTGGAGCTGTACATGATATATTCAAACGTGGGAAAACCGTTTATTGTTTTTTTTCCAACATAATAATAGAAGAAGGAAAAGACGTCATCAACTTAGTTTGGTTGGTTTTTCTAATGTAATCAAAGAGATGTTGTCCTCCGTTCTCAGAAAGTTAACGTTTGTTTGCATAATTATTTATTTAGATGTAGTTTTTTTGTGAATCAACATAGTTTGTGTTATTGTGATTATAACCGACAGATGTTTACTGAAGGAAAATTGAAAAGAATCTCCAACTAAGTTTTTTCTTCTCTTGCATACAAAATACATAATACATCATATCAATATACAAATAAAAGAAGATGAAAGAAAAACAAGGTAAATATTGACTGGATCAATATTCTCTATCGAGAAAAAGAGAGTTTTGAACATGTTATTATGATAAACAATTATTTTTGAGATACTAGCAAAACTGTTTGTTTTGTTCTCAATGAAGGCTATTCTACATAGACATTAATCGTAACTGTTTGAATCATTTTTCACATTGATAAAGAAAATGTGATTATCTATTGAACTACAAATCATAAAATTCTTTTATCAACCAAAAACGCAAAAACAGAAACAATAAGACAGAAAAATAAATGAGAGATTTTCGAAATGTTATTATACTATATGTTATATACACTCGAAAAAATTAGATGGAGTGAGTTTGAGTTAAGAAACCTGCTCAGTTTGTTTTAGCTCTCTTGTCTGATCAAACAACTCATCTAATCATTATCCGTTCAGTTACTAAAGGTGGGTTTTGTTCTTCATGTTTTTTTATCTTTATTCATTTTCCATACAACGCAAAAGATCTATTTATGAATGTATTTGTTCTTAAATAATATTTGAACACAGGAAAATCATTTTTTCCGAACGGACAAGTTGTTCTGAAGATAAAAAAAGTCAAGATTGATTTTTCATTAGATTGATCAAATGAATTGAGCAAAAAAAGAGAGAAAGAAACAAAAAAAGAAAGAAAGAAACAAAAAAAATAGAATTTATTGTTCAAGCAATACTTTCTCTTCTATTATGAGTTAAATTCATATCATTAACTTACAGTCTAGTTGGTGATGACTTCAACAAGAGTTTGTTTATGCGTGTTACTTATGCTTATCACACAATCATTCGCAGAAGATATACGATCAATGGAAATGTCTTTAATGATTGATTGCAAATTTGAATATGCGAATACAACTTGTTTACCTTTCATTAATGTTATTACTTCAAACATTAGGAATTGTCAAGTAGCCTGTTTAACTCAAAGTCAATGCATAGCAGCCACTTATCATCGATCAACTTCTGATTGTGAATTATTTGATAATATGTTGAATCAAAACGGAACTATGTTGGCTGATGTCGATGCTACTAGTATGAATGCTATCAACGGAACACGATTTCCACCAGGTCAGTATGAATATAACAGATTTAGAAGAAAATATATCTGTGACAGAGAAAAAGTTATTACCTACTTAAAAAAAATTTCAACTTATCGAGCATTAACACAATTTGGTAGGGATTTAAGACAAATTTGTATGTAAATCCCCGATCGTTTCGAATCAAAATGACAGTAAAATATTATTCAGCCAAAACCTTTCTTGGAAATAATTCTGCTTGAATCAAATGATCTAATTTTTCGAATTCAACTTTGAAAATATCTAAGTAGAACGAAATCTTTGTGAGACTTGAAACTAAACAATCAATATCATCGGATATTAAAAGAATAATGAAAAAAACATGAGATAATTATTTCATGAAACGTCTATAGATATTGTACTTTTCATATTCATAAATCTATACAAAATATCGATGTCTATGAAACAAATTTTCATTCGAAAACCCATAGAAATATAACGCATTGGAGAGATTCTCAGAAAATAAATAAGACATTGCCGCATTTTTTTGATTAAGATGATGATCAGAAGCAGTTTCAGCTTAGTTTTGCATCTCGTTAATTCATAAGAGAAACTGAACTTAAATTGGAAATCTGTCATGTGGAAATTTTCCCCTGTCTCAGAAAGAATCTCTTAACAGTATAACTAGATACACTGCAATAATGAAGAATTCCGAGAAGAAAATCAATAATTAGACTAATATGAGTTCATTCGATTTTGAGACTGATACTCATAAACTGTGATCTTTCCTCTTTCACTTAGAGTTAGTTTCTGATCAGAATTTTATCTTAAATAGAAATCAAAGATTTCAAGAAAATAATCAATACGCAAGTTTTACATAACTTAATTTGTGTAATTCGAAAAGTTTCATTATTAAAATTATTAAGAAATGTAAATCGAGTTATCAGAAGTGTTATAATAGAGATATAATTAAATTAAACATCGTAGAATTACAATTATAATCGAAATCATTTGAATGTTTCCTATTTTATTATAATCGATCCATATTTAATGTCTATACACTGTTACAGAAGAAGGAAAAAATCTTCACCCGTTTAGTATCCCTTTAAAATTATTTTTTCAAAATAGAAGCGACTACGACATCAACAACAACATCATCAACATCGACAACAACAACAACAACAGCAATACCAAGTCAGTACTATATTAAATGATTCATAGTTGCTCAAAAGATGATAAATGCAACTGATGACATCTAAAAGTTTAGGTTTTCGGTATCGAATGTTTCCCATCTACATTAACAACATTAGGAAATATCTCCTATCAGAAGTCGGAACATGATCAGTTCTTGATGACTTGATTCGATTTAGACGGGTCTAAAATGTTTAATATGCTCGTTCTGTCTAATAGTATCATGCGAATACATTGTTGACAAGAAGACTTTCATACGATAGAACTCATTGATCACTTTAGTAATCTTTGATAACACTCGCCGATTCTTAAGATGACTGGGATAATTGTATACGTTCAAGTACTAGCTGACATAATATTGACATGAGATATGTCTATCAACACGTAACCTCATGTTTTAGATTGCATTTGTATAGAGTTGAGTAATTCAAAAAAATATTGTAGCAATATAAAATTCAAACTTCAAACTCGAGAAAAACGCCTTTGGTCATGAACAATTAACTATTGGTGTGCTGATTTTTTCATGAGAACGATACGGGAATTGTATTCTCTTACTCCCAGTCACATTCTAACACATAGTTACACCACCTATCCATCATGATGAAAGTACATCTTGTTTTCACTATGTTGAACAATGTAGAATGAAGTTCACTCAAATCCTGAAATTCGATTATTACTCATCATAACCGAATTGTAGGGCAGTGTCGAAGTTTTATTAGTTCGCGACATCAGCGGAATTTGAAAAATACTAATGAAGTCGTTTATAACATATTTTTCATTAATGTAATTTAATATTTGCTAATGACTCTTCTCTTAGTCATAAAAAAAAAGAGACGTTTAATGAATGTTTGAAATCATTTAATCTATCATCAAATAATAGACAACTTATGCATATGAGAAATTCGAAGTCATTCTATGAATAATATTTTTTACTCACTTTTCTGTCTTACCTAGAATGGGCACCCACAGGCAACATGAGTGTCGCACGAGAATATCACACAGCGTCCACATTAGCAAATGGATTAGTATTAGTTGTTGGTGGATCAGACCCTGGTTATCTTAATAGTGCTGAATTGTATAATCCATCAACAGGCATTTGGACAACGACAGGAAGCATGAATGTTGCACGAGGATATCATACAGCATCTATATTAGCAAATGGATCAGTATTAGTTGTTGGTGGCAGCAGCATCGGTGGTTATCTCAATACTGCTGAATTGTATAATCCATAAACAGGCATTTGGATAGCTACAGGAAGCATGAATGTTGCACGATTTCTTCACACAGCATCCACATTGGCAGATGGAAAAGTATTAATTACTGGTGGATACAACAATAGTGTTAGTTGTCTCAATAGTGCTGAATTGTACAATCCATCAACAGGCACTTGGACAGTCACAGGAAGCATGAATACCGCACGATATATCCACACAGCAACTACATTAGCAAATGGATCAGTATTAGTTACTGGTGGATATAACAGAGTTATTTATCTCAATGGTGCTGAATTATACAATCCATCAACAGGCACTTGGACAATCATAGGAAACATGAGTGTCGCACGAGGATATCACACAGCATCCACATTAGCAAATGGATCAATATTAGTTACTGGTGGGTATAACAGCGGTAGTAGTTATCTCAATAGTGCTGAGTTGTACAATCCATCAATAGGCACTTGGACAACCACAGGAAGCATAAATGCCGCACGATTTCTTCACACAGCAAACACTTTAGCAAATGGATCAGTATTAGTTACTGGTGGGTATAACAGCGGTAGTAGTTATCTCAATAGTGCTGAGTTGTACAATCCATCAATAGGCACTTGGACAACCACAAGAAGCATGAGTGCCGCACGAGAATATCACAAAGCGTCCACATTAGCAAATGGATCAGTATTAGTTACTGGTGGATACAATGGTGTTTTTCTCAATAGTGCTGAACTTTATTAATCGATATAGATACAATCACATTCTCTTTTATGAACTAAATCAGAAAATTTTATATTTAATCAAACTATTTAATCATTCACATTTCTTAATACAGTATCACTCATCAAATAATATATGACTTGCTGTAATATCTAGAAGTCATATTGTATGGCGGTTGTTGAAAAAGAGCCACGATTGATAAAAGACAGAACGTTATTTGTACAACTAATTGGATATAAATACAGATGTAAAGAATATTAATCATTGTTTGCTACTAAGTACATGTATTCGAATGAGAGTGTGTGTGTGCGTGCGGGTGTGAGTGAGGGAATGGGTGAGTGAGTATGGGTGTGGATGTGAGTGGAGGTGTTCTGTTTCGGATATTTCCACATCGTAACTCTGAAATTTTTGTTGGCAAAATAAAACCTGTCGGAAAAGGGTAACTTTCGGAAAAACAACCTTTAGGCAAAGTGATGGTCGGCAAAGTGTAACCGACCCACAAAACAATACAAAAGAAATAGCATCATCAACACGTTCGTGTTCTATCAACGAATGTAAACGTTCATGTCGAGCATTATGTCTCTGTTGTCAACAATATTTATGTGTAAATCATTTAAGTGAACATGATTAACAAATTAATGCTCAACTTTCATTATTAACTGATCAAATTAATTCAAAGAAGAAGAAACAATCAGAAAAAAGAATGAATTGACAAATAAGAAGGAACAAAAAAAGAAATTGATTTAATAAAAAAATTTATTAAATTTATTGCAAAAGATATTAATGGTAATCTCATTAGTATTCAAAATAGAATACTCAAGAAAAACTTTCATAAATAATTACCTTGAGTCTATCGAAAATATTTCTCTGTAAAAATTCTCTATCTGATAATTATTTTAGAAGAATCTTCTGCAAAATCGATGAAATTATCAAGATGGGAAATTGAATAACAATCTTCTGTAATTACAGATTCAATGAGTAACTTAATCGATACATATGGATCATTGAAGATGCAGAAAATAATAAAAGATATGAAAAATTGGCTTAATGAAATCTATAGAAAACCATGAAATGTTGAAAATATTGACAAACATCAAAACCAATCCATTCATATTTATACGAATGAATATTTAATGATGAAAGAAACATCATAATAAAAAAAACTCGAAGATGTGAACGTGTGAAAAGGGTACGGGTTTAAAAAAATATCCTCTCATATTATTATTTCACGCTTATTTACAGTAATTTTGAGACCTCACCAATGATCGAAATGAGAATGTGTCATAAAGAGATAATTCTGCAAAAAAATTGCAATGCTATCAGTTCTCCGAAGAAGAGAAATTAAAAGAAATAGAAAAAGCAAAGTTTTCTTAATAATACTAATTATCTAGATATTATTGTATATGGTAGAAAGTCTCTAAATATAAATGTATTATTTGGAAGTGCAAATGACATATTTCAAATACAAAAGTCGTTTTTCACTAATTTTGTTTCTTTTTATAAATTTCTAACGCTTGCTGACTTCGATAATAATAATCAATCTGATATTGCTGTTATTTATAGTTGAAAGAATATCAACTAATCTTATAGTCCGATATTTATTCGTAATATACTTCATTTTATCTAGAAATATGTTATTCACTCTGATTTTTCTTGCATTATAGTTTGATTTTTTCAATAATTAGTAAAAACAATTATGCAGATAATTTAATAATTGAATTATCATTCATAGATATGAAAGATTTCTATGATTCATGAAGGTAAAATAGATTTAATAAACAAATCAATTAATAACGATATTTGACTCGATGATTTATAAATGTCAATATAAATTTATGAAAGAGTGTGAGTGTGTTATAGTTGTCACACGCGATGCCTGGACCCACCCGAGTAAATCAGTCTTCATTGGAATAAAAACATCATTTCATCAAAAAATTTCTTATTTCATTTATATATTTGATTAATTATTGATGAAGCATAACTATATTTTCTTTCATCCACAAGCAATTATATTCAAAAATATATTTTTGTAGATGAAAATCAAAGTTACTATGCGTAACATATATACAAGAAAACACCGTTGACATATTTTTCCTGACTAATATCGTATAACATACGAATTTTTTTTATATTTTACATTATTTTAGAATTTGTTCATCAGATGTCTTCTGGCGGAATAATACGTCCAAATCAAAGATATAGAATCCAAGGTGAATTCTATACTTTACTCAGTCGGCTAGGCTATGGATCATTTGGATCTGTCTGGACATCGAGAACAGAAAACGGTAGGAATATTTTCTTAAGTTCATCTGATAAACTCTTCACTTATCTCCTATGTTAAATATATGTATTATTTTGAATAATAAATATCTCATAGATATAATAGAAGATAATATCATTTTGATTTCTAGGTGATTTTGCTGCTGTGAAAGTGTTTGACTTGAGTCGTTCAGGAAGTCGTATTCGTTTAAATGAACGTCAGAATTCTTTTCGAAATGAAATTAAAATGTTGGATAGAATGCGGAATGAAACTGAACATATTGTAACAATGTATACTTTTGAATATAATCCACGAATTAGTATGGCTTTTATAGCAATGGAATTGGCAGATGAATCGTTAATAGATCGAGTTAAAAATCTTCATCAAAGACATCTAAGATCAAGAATGCTCGATCGTTTCGATTTTATTTCAGCAAACGATCGACAAAACATCTGGATTCAATTAGTTAATATTATTCTTACACTTCATCGATATGGTGTAGTAAGTTTAAATTAATAAAAAATAGTTTTTATTTTCTTATGTGTACAAGAGTAATTGTTATCAACTTATTTCATAATAGGTTCATTGTGATTTAAAACCGGCGAATTTATTATTTTTCGGACCATTATTGAAAGTTATTGATTTTGGTATTGCACAAGATGAATTTACTGGGTTAGTTTCATATTCTTGTCTTTATTCTATATCGTTTATTTTTCATGTAGATACAATCGACGTCAAAGAATAGGTGGTACTCGTCCTTATAGTGCACCGGAATGTTTTTCAGATCGAACACCTGTTACATCAAAAGCTGACATATGGTCAGTAGGTGCAATTTTATATTTTTTAACTTATGGAAAAAGACCTATATATGAAACTGCACAAGCACCAGATGGTGTTTCACAAACACGTTCTCGTCTTGTTCAAGATATTCTTCAGCATTGTCTTCAACGAAATCCATCCCGACGACCAGATCATCAATGGCTTGCTCAACATCCTTTAACGATACCTCCGGGAATATTTTAAAGTGATAAAAATTCATTTTATGTAAAGTTGTTATAATAAATATAAAATTAGAAAATTTAATAGAATCTTAATCAGAAAAACAAAAAACAAATGATTGTAATTGAGGAAAATTGAAAAAATACGTTTTCACAGTGTGGTATCGGTGAAGAGAATATACGAAAATATTGATGAATAAATTGATTGTATATCATGAAATAAAAATGTCACTTTGATTTATAAAAGAAACCTATCATCATGAGTTTTAAATGCTTAATAGGATTGGATCATAAAGAGTCTACAAAAGATGAATTTATTTCTATGTATCATTCTCAATATGATAGTAATAACTGTAGACTAGAAAAAAATTGCATAATTTAATCATACATATTCAACAGAATATAAATGCTTTTTTTATTGCTGATCTTCAGTATTATCTTCACTTGTATATCGGAAACAATCGATTTATAGTTTATTTTCAACAAGTACGTATAAATACGTTGCATTAATGTTTACTGGGAGCTTAACATCAAATTGATAGAATACGATATTTTTAAAAAGCTGAAGAATATATCTTAATATCAGTTCATGATGCACAAGATAAAGATTTATTGGAAAAAGCATCGTATTATTCAAATCTATTAGTATTTTATAATCAACAAATGAATTATGATTAGGGTTTAATTTGAGCTGAAAATGCGCTTCAGTTTTGCTCATTTGAACTTTCAACATTATCAACTAACAATACTAATATGAGCGTTTTTTATGTTAAGAAAAATAATGCATGCAAAGAAACCAGCTATCTTTGCAAGACAATCGAGATTTATATGTATTTGAGTTGAGCATATAAAAAAGAAAAGAATTTTCCAAAAGCAATAGAATATCTTCTTCAGATAATTGATATTGCTCAACAGTCATTGCCAGTCAGTCATTCAATATTTGCATTGACTTATGATCATCTTGGAGATATTTAGGATGTCGGTGTGTATTCTCCTCATTCATTAGTCATAGCCTTACTCACACGCACACATACATCCACCTTCAAGATTTGGTTGCATAATGTTTTCTTGTCATTGAGAAACAAAAAAGTTTTTTTTATATTAAATATGATAAGCGCTGTTGGCCAAAGTCAAAGACAACACACAACTTGCTGTGTATTCAATGCAACTAAAAAGATATTTATTTTTCGTTCTTCAACGGGTGAATTCGAATAAAACACTTATCATTTGTTGTTATAAGACCATTGCTACTTTTTTGTGTGTTGTAATCGCTTACTCTTCACTTTTTATTAACTATACAGAAAACTTGCTTTCTACGTTAGTATTTTCTCATACATGTTTCATGAACATATTTCTAGATATAATGAAGAAATATACAATTATCTTGATCTTTCTCAACGCTCTTTTTATTTTCGCTATAATGGGTGGTTCAACATGTCCCGAGGCAATCCCATTTCCTTCCTGGATGATAGGTCATTTCCAGGCGCAATTTGCAGATGGTTTGTTAGCCAACGAAACTTTTGGATTGTTATATGCAAATATAACGTATTCAAACGGTAAAAACGGAACTTTAACTTTGACAAAGCCTCTAAATAAAAGCGAACATTTCTTCATCTGCTATGACTGTATTCATATTCAGAACACAGAACCTCAACAACGCTGCTCACTTTTAGTACCTAATTGTAATGGTTATAAAAAGTACATTCACAAAGCGCCGGAGCTCGTTTCAAGATGCCCCACATCAACCTCATCTCCTGATGTTG